CCTGGTGATATTTCCAGAGAAGTGGTATGTAGTTTTGCTAGCCCGTGCCAGACTGTAGCTAGCTACTAGCGGATACAACGAGTAAAGAAAAGAAAAGCCCAGCCCATCAATTAGTGGTTCCGCGCATGCGCAGTTCGCCGAGGATTTGCACTTTAGTGCTTTTGATTTCACTGGTGACAATGTCAAAGTAATTTTTAACAACTTGTTTGTTGCAGAGTTTCATGGTTGCAAAAGGGCTTGATGATACACTGAAGACGATTCTGGTACTTGATACTTGAAGCGATCTAATGCTTGAAACACAGGCTTCTCCTTGTGTATGTTGTCTACCAAGACGAAGATGGTTGGATCCAAATGTGGCAAAATGGAAAAGTTGCTCTCTGCTAGGCTCCAATAACAGTAGAACACAGTCCTCCTCTTGTCAGGGGCCATTTGTGGCAACTGTAGGTGTGTACGATGGTGCTTCAGGGTTGAGTCTAGTAAGTGTAGGGTCTTTTGGCATCTCTGATAAGGCAGTGTTGTGCCGGCCATTACACCGTTGGCATTTGCCTGACAATCGACAGTTGCGTCCAACGTGGCCTTTGTGTAGACAGTTGAAACGACTGCTGGTTCACAGAATTTGCTTGCGTGTGCTGCTACTGGCTACTGAGGTACAGCGTACTGATGGGTGTGCTTGTTGACTGTAGCAACAGATCATACCAGACACTGGATCTTGAGTCGGAGGCTTGCTCTCTAGCTCCCAGCTCTTCCTCGAAGGCCTTGTGTAGACTATTGATGTCTATATCTGATCAGAAGATGCGATCTCTGCATACTCTAAGGTTCAGAGGCATTAAGAAAAACACAATACTACTCCTCTGAAAGAATTTTGTCACCTAGCACTACTTCCACACTAGATAGATTCCGGACACCTTTTTGTCAATACACAGAGTAATAGGCCGTCTAGAGTGTACAAAATGTGGGCAGCCACTTTCAGACTGTGCCCGAGTGCGTTGTCTTTTCCACACCGTAGTGGCTGAACATTACTCCAAAAACTGCAATACCCAGTGCAATACCCAACTGTGAATGCACTGGTGATGGGCTATTTTTGTCAATGCACAGAGTAATAGGCAGTCTGGAGTGTAACTGTGGGCTGCAACTTTAAGACTATGTTGTATGCCCGTGCACCTTGTAGTGGTCAACCCACAACCAGTGTCCAGGGATCACTATAAACTAGAGCATGTCCTTGAAATTAAAAACATAGTGTGCATAATTGAGAATCCTATACTATATACATCACCCTCCATGCAAATGATGTGTGTAGGTATGGTGCATGGAGTGATACTTTGTGCTACGTACGTACATCTCACATGTATGTCTAGAACGTGGAGTGTGAAACCGATAATATTGTCTACCACGACAAAATGAGAATCAGTGTGTTTGTTTGAAGTCAGAAATCACATGTTATGCAGTTTGTACACTGAAGGTGACATAATGGTGATGTCATTGACCAGGGCCAAATGGATTAGTTTCAGAGGGTCTCATTGAGCCCCGTGTATGGTTCACCTCTCTGTGGTGACCCTAATCAGCTCTAATGGCCAGGAGCGCACCCTTCATCATTGCATCAGCCTACATCATAGAGAGAGCAATAACATTTGCATCATGTGTAAACACAGTTTTTGACATTTGATCCATGATGCATTAGTTGTGGTCTATTTCTTATTGACACGAACAGGAAGTGGAGACTCTGACCTCCACTTCCAGGTCATGTCAAGTCATGTGGAGTCATGTATACACAGGCTTACAGGCAGTCTCCAGTAGCAGACAACAATCTGAGGAGCTTTTGTATTCTCCCACAGCTTCAGCTCCCCCTTGTCCAGACTCTGCAGTGTGATGAATAGAGCTGGCTATCAATCAAGTGTCATGTAGAATATATATTGTATATACCTCAATGCAGTGAGTGTAAGTCTTGACTGCCTCTTCCTCAACAAACTCTGGGACTGAGGAAATTCACTATCCAGAACATACTCACAAACACACCTGTGGAGGGAGAGAAGGACCAGTAGGTTTTGAGAATGACAAGCTAGAGTTAAAATGTTCCAATTAAAGGATAAGTAAAAAGGCCCTGGTAAGGTACACACTTCATGGAATCTCATAAGCACTTTCTTTCAGTGGCTCACCCTGTGTTCCAATGACGGCAATCTTGAAGAGAGGTCCAGGTCTCCTCAGCTCCAGAGCTGTGAGGAGGTGCATCCTCTCATTCTCTGCCTCCTCCAGCAAGGTGTGTATCCAGCCATGGTCCCGAGTCATGCGCCGCAGAGACTTCAAGTGACGCACCATCGCACCTATCATACCTGGAGACATGTAGAGTGTATTGGGTCACATTAGAGTCAAGATTCGAAACTGGACAAGATTAATGTGAAAACCCTTGACATTTATTCACTAAATGTCAAGGTTTGCGGACTTTCCTAGGCACACATACATATTGCTGGATCTTTCTCACCTGGTACTCCAGCCACTGTCTCAAGATAGATGATTCTTGACAGCCACTTCTTCTCATCCAGTGTACCAAACCTCTTGCCCCACGAATACCCAGACAACAGATCAAACCCCGTCCTCAGCATCTGCACAGAGTAATAGGCAGCCTGCAGGGGAGTAGGGTCAGTGTTTGGAGTAGTTAGTAAGAGTTGTGTGACTGTGTACCGTGTCAACAGGTTTCTCGGGAGGAGTGTGAGTGATCTGGACAGAGTTCAATTCCTCCTCACTCCACACAGGGTGAGGCAGAGTGTATCCATCACACCATCCATCCTCCTGATGGCCAGTGGTCCCAGCAGCAGGTTGACTAGGTTTGCGGAAGTGGTCCAGAGACATTGGGAGGTCGTCCCGATCACTCCTGGGCTGTCCCTGAGCTCCAGTAGTGGCTGGACCTGGAGCACTGCAGTGGAATGACCTCACTCTCAGTCCTCTACTCTGCTCCTCCTGCAAACAACACTTCCACTAACTGATGTGCACGACCAAATGGTGTGGCATCACTGAGTAAGACTATATCAATGGTCTAACCAGGAGAGATGACGGATTATTGAAGTGGACTGGTGAGACTGCAGCGTTGATGTACCTCCACGATCTCCACAACTGCATCCTTGAGACAGGCAGCAGTCTCCTCACTGCTGAACTTCCACTCATAATTGATTTCAGCCTTACTATTTGGGTTGAGCGGTGAATTTTATACCAGAGACCTTCGATCCTCACATTCTCACGCATGCGCACTACCTTTGTTTATCAAAGATGGCTGAAAAGGCGGACCCTCCCTCCAGTTCTCCTCCACCGTCTCCGTCAGCGAACCGTTGGTCTCGTCACGAGATCCCTCTCTCTAGAAGAGAGGGCGAAGAGGTCTTAGCTCGCAGAGTTAGGAGGCCACGACCTCGAAAGCCAGCTCCTGTTCGTCGCCGTCAGAGTCCTACATTTTCTGATCTGGTAAAGTTTTGTTTATACCTGAGTGAGTTTGTTGGTAGAGCTTGTAAAATTCGCAGAGGCATATCTTAGGAGGGTTTTTCTAAGAATTTGCGTTTGTTGCTAGCTGACCTGATGGTAGCAGTAGAGCAAAAGTTTACAGTAATCACTGTACTGTTACAGTAGTGAATCCGCAGCTCTTAGCATGTAGTCACCAGTGTTTTTTTTTTTTTACCTCTGTACTGGACTTTAGCAGGACATGTAAGGAGAAGTAATGGGCTCTACTTTCCAAGCTGTCGTTATAATGGTCACTTTTAGACTCTTGGAGTATGAGTGTGAAGAATAGGAAGGCACGAGCCACAGTCAGCTGCATTGGTTGGAGTCGGTCATGTTGGGTTGGGCGAAGCGGATTCTTGGATGCTTTGGGAGATATGGAGCTAGATACATTGCAAGGTCAGAGAGACAAGGCTAGTGGTGGTATAAGGTAACAGACAGACAGGTGATAAGTATCCAAAGAGAGGGCGAAGAGGTCTTAGCTCACAGACTTTGGATGGCACCACCTCGAAAGCCACCTCCTGAACCTTTAGATATGGTAAAGCGTTATTCTTGTGTCTATATACCTGAGTGAGTTTGTTGGTAGAGTTTGTTAAAATTCGCAGAGAGATCTTAGAAGGGTTTTTCTAAGAATTTTTGCTAGCTGACCTGATGATAGCAGTAGAGCAAGAGTTTACAGTATACATCACTGTACTGTTACAGTAGTGAAGCAGCAGCTCTTAGCATGCAGTCACCAGTGGTTTTGACCGCTGGACTTTCGGACTTTAGCAGGACATGTGAGGAGAAGTAATGGGCTCTATTTTCCAATCCGTCATTATAATGGTCACTTTTAGACTCTTGGAGTATGAGTGTTAAGTATAGGAAGGCACAAGACACAGCCAGCTGCATTGGTTGGAGTCTGTCATGATGGGTTGGGCAAAGCTTGGGTGCTTTTGGAGATATGGAGCTAGTAGATGCATTGCAAGGTCAGAGAGTTAAGGCTGGTGGTGGTACAATAAGGTAATGTCAGGTGATAAGTATCCAAAGAAACTCTTTAGCTAGGAGTGGGACTTACAGCGTCGTTGAGGTAGACAGAGGAAGGTTAGAGTACATATGAAGGGGGAAGTGTTGGATAAGACTGAGTTCTTGGATGAAATTCAAATGAGGGAGCATTTTTTAAAATTTTTTTGTGATACACTTTATATGTTATAGGATAGTATTGATCAGAGGGAGGGTGAAAGGGGGTTAAATCTTTCACTGTACTGAGGTATCTGCATGGTGGTAGTGACCCCAGGCAGATGAGGAACTCATGGGTTCAATTAGGAGTGAGATGAAGGGAAGGAGGGAGGAGTGTCTTTTGTGTGATGGGGAGTGAAAATGTTGTGGGTGTCTTCCTGCTTATGGTGTCTGTAGAATCAATTTCATGACTCAGTTTTGCGTATATGCGCGAAAATTGAACTGCTCTCACTTGCTCACCAAGATGCTTTGTATCAAGGTACACACTTTGTCCACAATCATGTAGTTGTTAACTACTGGGTCCCAGTTCTAGGTGACTGTGAGAGTAGATGCTGGGTTCACAATTTTATGTTAAGATAATCTCTACTGCTTTTCTTATACAGGCTAATAGGAGACAACTGGAAATCCAGGTATATATGTCACCTCATTAACACAGATATTTTTTGTTCATAGATCGTCTATCCCTCATTTGTCTGAGTATGAGTCTGGGTAGTGTCTACAACAATTTGATTTCAAATTGCAACCATGGATAAAAACTGTTTATGCCTCATTCATGCTCTGATTTAATGTCCGGGCGTTTCTTTCTTAACAGAGTTTGTGAATTGATATTTAAACGAGACCAGCATTGTGCGTGGACCTAGTGATATGTGCATCTTTATGCCCGCGTCTTCTGACATCTCTTACAATGGCCACATCCTCACTGTGTCTGCATTACATTCACCTGCTGCCTCTCTGGTCGAGGTCATCTGCCTCACCAGTATTGATTAATGTTCTGGTAATGGTACATGCTCTGTCAGGACTTGTGTTGGAACTGTAGCCCATTGTTTTGAGAATGACTGTTTACCCTTTAATCTGTGGCACTCTGCTAGGATTGTTCTCAGCACACATGTGTAACGAGGTTTACAATACTTGGTTTGTAAGTCTGTCTTTGGTTTGTCTGTTTACCATTATTACAGGCTACAAGGCTGCCAATAAGTGATACCAACACTGTCAGTGCTACGTAGACGTGAATATTACTGTTTCCCATGAAACC